TCATTCTAGAATGAAAGAGGCATAATATATATTTTTTTCCTAATTTTGTTATGGTGCTTACGAGATTAGTCACATCTACCGAACCCATACAGAGATTTGTTAGTGAAAATAACAGATAAAATATAAAGTTTTTCTTAAGAAATGTTTGATAACTATCTAGACATTATAAAGATTTCGCATATGAAATTTGAAAATTTTCTGATGCACAAAAGTATATTTAATCTTAAAATTAAAATTACTTTGCATGTTGAATAGGCAACATGCAAAAAGAGAAAAAGGCATGAGAAAAATATTGCTTAACAAACCTTAAGACTTAATAAAAAAAAATTATATTTTGCATATGAAAGCACTGTAATGTTTACTGATAACCTGCCAAATTTCATTAACATATGCTTACTAATTTAAAAGTTATAACATCTATAAGTATTTTATAGCAACATTAAACTGTACAGAGTTCAGCACTAATATACCTAAAAAAATAATAATAATTTGGTTACCCGTGGATCTCTGCTGTATTGAACCATTGAAACAATGAATATTACACCACTACTTATTAATGTTGAGATCTATTGTGATGAAGGTATGTGTTTTGGTCTGTTATTCTATAAACAATGAAACATTAGTGTCCTTTTTTTTCTTTAGTTGATCATGCATTTGGTTTTGTTTAATAGTTTTTGAAACAGACAATAATATTTTTAAATATGAAATACCCATAGAAGCATCATTTGCAATACTTTCAGCAGCAGTTAGTGAAATTGAATGAGGGTTTCATGAAGAATATTAAAGCTGCCTTTCCTTAATTCTTGTAATGCTTAATTGAACAAGAAACTTGGGCAGTATATATGTGGTCTGTTTGTTGTTTCTGGTCATTATGGGGTAGGGTATTAAGGATGTTTATTTTTTTTTATGTGATACACTGGGGTCAAGGAATTTTCTACAGTTACATTTACCACTGACTACAAATATTGCTGAATTTATGAATTTGTTCTCTCATAAATGTAAAATACTTATATATATAGACACGCACAATGCTCATGTATGTATTCACTGAACACCATCTAATAAAGAAATTCCTTGTTTATTATCTGAAAAACAATTAAAAATTTAGTAGTTTTTACAACTTGTATCCCCAGCGAAACCAAAAAAATGTATGTAATTTTGTTCTGACAGCTTTTATATTTTTGACTAAGACAGTTTTAGTAAAAAAAAGTTATTAATCTTATGATCAAACATATCCAGATTGATATCAAGTGAGCATAATAGCAGCACAGTTTTATACGAGTTATCATGCTTGCAGACATAGTGATACACATTATTCTTATCTAAGGAAATGTAATTTTTCAAGTATCTACTATTTATTATAAGGTTGTTATTATGATCTTTATATATATATATATATATTTCTTACATGTAAAAAAAGATATTGTTTTTTTTAAAATTCCAGGATATAGCTCCTGGATGAATGCTATTTATTTTTTTTGCCCGTTTCATTCTCAGTTTTCCCATGGAAAAGGAAGTTCCACCTTCTTAAAATAATTTCAGAGGGTAGACTTGTATTAAGTTGTATACGTTGATTATAATTATTCACCACATCTTTGCTAATTTTTTGTTGTTGTTTTTATATACAAATATAAAGACTAAGTTTAAAAGATAATTCTATAGTTTTTTATATACAATGAAATCAAGCAGAGATACTGTAAGGAATTTATATTAAACGTCATCTACTTTGTCTGGAAATACAAACTAACTATCAAAGAGATATCTTTTCCTTTATTTTAAGGATATGTTGTTTTTCATCAATGTCACTATAAAACAAAATGTCTGTGAACTCTCTATATGACATCAAGGTGCACTGACTGTATAATATCTTGAGCTAAGGTCTTTAGAAAATTTCCTAATAATACCTTTAATTCTTTCCTCCTCAGAGGATCTTTTAGTCTATGTAAATGCTAGATTATAAAAGTCAGTTTAGTTGCTTTACATCAGCTAAAAATAATTAGGAAGAATATAATATATTACTGAATATATTTATATATATATATATATATTCAGGTAGTAAGCTCAATAATCTCTATTATAGTTTGTTCTTTTATAAGTTAACCTACATAAAGTATTGCTTATGACCAATATCAATTTCAAGACGTTATATTTTTTAAGTGACTGTAAAGTATACATGATTAATCTTTTTTATTTATCAGTTCTCATACTTCTAAACCATATATGTTAAACAGGCATTCAAACTTCCTTTATATCTTGTTTTCTATAATAATAAAGGATTTAACTTGCTGCACATGCTGAGTTATGGATAGGTCGATCTGAATTAAACTGACCAAAACAAAGAGAAAAGCTATCAATGTTTACATTCAACCTTATAGTCTTTTGGTTTATATGACATAAATATATTATCATTGAATGTTTTTCTCTTAAGAAAGAGGGTGAAAATAGATTTTGAACTACTATTTAAGTTATTATAAGACTTATTTTAATCCTATTTAAATATAATATAGTTAAACTCTGTAAAATAATTTTTCATCGTCACAGTTGTGTCATATTTAAATAAAATATAACAGATGTGGGCACAAAAGGCCCAGAACCCAAATATTTGATTTCTAGATACACTTTTTCAGTGACAAGTTGTTCAAGAAGATTACACAGCTGGACATTAATTTGTCTCTTAAAAATGCCTTTAGTATTTAAACTGCTACTTCTCTCTTTGATTATTACACAAAAATGATCATTTCCATACAGGTATAAAGGGATCAGTTCCAAGCTGAGTGAATGGAACACAGCGATCACCAGAGCTCCCATGTGAGTGACCTAATCACTGCAAGTACAAAAAAGTTAAGACTCTTGAGTCCTTCTTTCTAATACTATGGGCCCCCCTAACCATCTAACAAAATCAATTCTCCTTTTACTTGGTGTTTCTATTTCACAACATCTCTGCTATCTTGTTCTTTCTGAATGTTTGTGGTTTGTAAAGACTGTATCTAGCTTTTTTTAAATATATTTCTTTCAAATAGTGAAGAGTTTTCTCTTGACAAAATTTCTGTACAACCAGTACTGAAAGCAGGGTAAGAACATTAATTTTATGTAGTAAAATTAATATAGCTTATAGTTTTGTTATTTAGGATTTTGTGCAGTACCTTTCTCTGTAGTGCTTTCTGTAGTATAACAGCGATTTTTAATCATTCAGTAGAAGGTTTGTCTTGCAATTGCTATGTTTCATAGTTGATAACAATATTTTGAGCTCTTTATGGTTTCTTAGTGTAATGGATGTTTTGAAATGCAGTTGTGATGATCTCGGTTTTATCGTATATTTTATACTTTTTTATGTATTTCTACCTCTTCTTTTTTTATGACAGTAATTTGATCTTTGTAAAGAAACAGAAGAAAGCCTTAAAAAATGACATATTTATGGTATTGTTTGTTATTTACTGTGTTTCAAATGTTGTGTTGGATATTTTGATAAGTACATTTAGTGTTAGTGGACTGCTTGTTATATTGGTTGTATTGAAGGTATTCTAGGATTTTAGGTTTTATACCTTGTTGGTTGTTATATTGGGTGTATTGAAGGTATTCTATAATATGGATATGTATGTAATGTAAAAAAATTCTCCAATTCTAAAACTTTTCACCATAAAAGTGTTTATGTAAGTGTGTGGTTAATTAAACTGGGTTAAAAGAGTTAATTGGATTCTTAATTAAGACACACCCTCCCTCCATGTAATTTTGGATTGAACCACCTTTTGCCACAACAATATTCTTGATTCAGAGTGACACATACTTCACAAAACACCAGAAGGTGTGGTATTCAATTGTGGATGATTTATCAAGGCGTATAGATTACAATTTGATCACAAATGTCAACACTTATGGTGGCAAACACATTCATTGTTCAAGTTTGTTCCTGAAATATCCAGTCAGCATGATATTAGACAGTTTTGCTAACCAAAGAACAAGACTGAAGCCACTTTCTTGCTCATCCAACCAGTTTTGGATAACACAAGGGCAGTGTGTTACATTATTGTTTCACAAGATGTCTTGTTCAATTCATCTTTCATCTAGCTAAAAGAGGTGTTGTTTACTGTTTAATGCTTTTCTTTTACAGGTTTGCAAGCCCATTGCTTTTAAAAAGGAAACACAGTTAACACTCCATTTAACCAAACTTTAAATCATGATTTGTTTTATTTTATAAATTAAAAGTTTATTGCTTATGAACTTTTTGCCTCCATTTCTTTGGATACTTATTTGTTTTATAACAGGAATAAAGAATTAAACTCTCACAGTTTGTATGGACATAAATGAGTCATCTATTTTACAAAAGCTTAACATTATAAGGAAAAAGATAATATAAAATTTTTAATTTAATTGTAATAAAATTAAAAAAGAAAATTCAGAACATTGTTTATTTTTCTCTTCACTTACTAGTCTGCAGTAGTTTAATGTTCAGTTAGAATTTCTTTACAATTATTAAACACATTATAGGTCTCAAAAAATAACATTGTATTGTTATGATGAGTCACCTAATAAATGTTATTATTTCCTATAACTAGAAAAAAAAATTGACAACCTGGAAGTTAATGAGTCTTGTCTACATCCAAGTTTTATTCTTCATACATTATATCACATATGCCTTTTCTCGTGTTACCTGCCCCCGATCTAAGAAAACATTTATATTAAAAAAATTTTGATAATCTATCTTATATTGCAATAGTCGTTATCATATTTTATTTAATGTGATCACAATTATGCTACAAGCTTTCTGTATTATTTTTATTTGGTTACTTCTATACTTCTTTGAAAAATACACTGATTTATTTCATAAATATTGTTTTATTCAGCAAGATCCTTTTGCCTTACCATGGGCTCGTAGACAAAAAATGACTATTTTTTTCTTTTTTGTTGATAACACTGGTGTATCATTATATAAATTTTGTCAAAATAACAAATCTTCATGCACTAAAACCTTTATTAATAATCCTCAGTCTTTTCTGCATGTATCTTGAACTTTCTAGTTTCTTGTACGTTATCATTATTTTCTATCCTTATGTATTTTTCAATAACCAAAATGACCAAAAATAATTCAAACTAAATTACCAAAAAATGTAACAAGCTTACGATTTGAAGAGAAACAGCTTAATCATGTTCTATTGATGTAATGTTTGTTATTGTTACTCTGAAAGAGATCTTAAGTAATAACCAGCAACACTTGGTTTATTCATCTCCTCAAATTCTAAGCCTATTTCATTTTACGTTTTTTTGTCCTTGACATATTTGATTTAAAGAGTTTTCCTCTTACCCTGTCTGTTGTCCTTATCTTTCACTGTTTTTTTTTATTGCCTTACATTTATTTTCTAGTTTTATGATCACAGTATTTAATAGATTTACTTATATTTTAATGTGTTAAATTTTTCTCGGTGTTATGTATCTTTGATCCAGAAATCAGTTATGTTTTTCTTTGAAATTTACTTCCATCTGTATTATAAAGGTTGATTTGAGTATAGGATATTTGAAAGCTACATTTACATCTTATAAAAACAAAGAATGGTGAATTAGAATGTTGAGTGAACAAAGACTGCCTTCAGAAATATATTATTGTCTCTACTCAGTGGAAGGATAAACTTGCTTTTTCAAATACAACATATTATTGGTTTTTACAGCTACTTGTACCTTTATTATATTTATCACTGAATTTAGGCCTAAACATAGTTTTCTCATGTATAAAAATAGAGAATTATGGTGTGTTAAATTAAGTTCATTGAAAACTACCAAACATATAAATGTATTTGGGTGAAGTACCTGGGACTGAAGGATCACTATATATCAGAGTTATTATATAAAGTGATCAATCATTATAGCTTTTATTTATACAAGGCCATAAACTAGTTTACATTAAGTTAACTTTGAAAGGAAATGGTAGGTTATTTAGGTTTTTCTAACATATGAGGATTTTAAACCTGTGACACTAGATACAATTTTGTAATTACTGGTGGATTTTGTCACATTGACTGTTTACATGTTTGAAAATATCCAATTCCTTCTAATCCGAAAGGTTTGGGTACTCTATAGATTCAACCTGGCCCCATACATTTCAGGGCCAAATTAATTTGAGTGCTAGATGGTCATGATTCTAACCTTGAAATGAAAATAACTATTAAGATAAATATGTGGCTAGAAAATAAAAAAGAGAGCACACACTTGCAGAAATTCTGACTGTAAAATGTGTTGCCATTTTTTCCTCAACTGAATACTGTGGAACACGAATGTTAAAACTAAATTAAATAGCATCGTAAACTGTAAATTCAGCAAATATGTTTTTGATTTGTTTTTAAGTGAATTTAAGTCTTAATTGTTTAATCATTGTTTGCTCTTCAATTTTTCCTTACTGCATGCAAGACTAGTATGTTCTGGTTAGTCTGTACAAGTAAAAATTTACACGAAACATCTGTGGAAAAGTCATCACACACTTTCTGACATGTTAACAATCAGTGTAAATTCAAACTGACCAATATTGATTTGAAAGTATATGGTTGGCAATATTTAAAATTGTTAAGTATTAAAGACATTGATGACCTGTAATCTCCAACCAGAATTTTATTGAAACAGTTGGCTTGTAAACTATTTGTATTACTCAAAATTTAAGTTAGAAATTTTAATGGATATTTTACGTGTGCTTTTAACAGTATTGTGTTACTACAAACAAAATCATGTGATTCAATAGAAATTTTATGGTGTAGACTGATATTTGTATGCAATATCTTCTTTTAAATTACATTTAAAAGTTTTATTTTTTGTATCTAGGATATCTTATTATGTTCATGTTTTTCAGCTACCAAAGGACTAGTCATACATTAAAAGCAGCTGGAGAAAAAAGCACTATTGCATTAGGCAACTTTGGAGCAAGCATGACTAAGAAACTTGGAGAGGTTAAGTAAGTGGCATATAGTATCTAGTTTTATGTTTTGCTTGCAGTACTGTTGTGTTCCTAGTTAGTTGTATGTAATACAATATATAAATGAGAAAGATATAAAAGACCATATGAGCAATACAATTATTTTATTATTTTAATTGTTTCAATAAAGCAATGAAATACCCCATCCCCCGAACACACAATGTATCTTTTCCCCTTTCTGATTGTTAAATAATCTACCATTGTGTGTGGGCCATTATTATTTAAAAGTCTAAGGCAAAAAGAAAGAAAAAATCATTGTATCTAAAAATAAAATCAACTACAGAAGAAAGACCAAAAATAATCATAGTAAAATACATTGAAGTTAACAATGGAATCTTGCTCATTTTGCAGTTGTTTTTAAAAATAACTAGGTTTCACAACTAGAAGGAAGCAGGTCTTTAATACATTAGTATTTTGGAACTACAATCTTCAATATGTTGAAACATTTTTTATAAAAGAGTGAAAATGTAAATATTTATATTCATCCAAGAAGTCATAAAAGTTAAGCTACACAATAAGTCTGTTATTCGTCTACTAGGTCCAAAATAACTTGGGGCAAATCCTGATAAATAACTATGTAATAAGATCAGAAAGTGGGAAATGAAGCATCAGTGATAAATTGTAGATACCTTATGTGTTTGCCATCTAGTGGCTCAGCAGTAAGTTTGGGAGCTTTTAAAACTAGAAATCAGGTTTTGTTACCTACAGTGGGCAGAGCAAGTGATTTATTCACCTAGGAAGTATTTATGTGTTTAGAATTTTTTCTTTCTGCTGGAAATTCTGTTAAATGTATGTACCCTTATTAACTAAGGAATTCAAACTCTGTTTGATTTCACATAGAAATATTACAGTCAGTTGGTTGCATTTCCCACAAGCAGTAAAAAGGTTAAGCCATAAATATGAAACAGTACTGGTGCTACAATTTAGCCTTACTTAAATTTCCATTTTTGAACTGATTTGTTTAAATTTAACAATATTAGCAGGTTGAAAAAATACGTTGATTTTGTAAGCCTATACACATGTTGAAATTAATCTGAAAATCCTGTTTATTAACCTCATATTTCAGACTTCAATAAACTTCATGTAGTTTTTTCATCATGATTTTTCTATAGTTGAATGTTTTGTTTCAATGACATGTCCAAGGTCTTGAAAATATTTTTCTGACATTATCTGTGTGTGACAAAATATCTTTAACATGTTCTGCTAATAATTGTTTATGTTCAATTCTATTTAATTTTTAAACATAATAAACTGTGTTTAGTTTTTATAATAAGCTAACATGTTCGTTCTTATTTTGTGACAGAAATTGTACATTTTTATCTTAGTTATTAAAATTGGTTTATTTCTTTTGACAGTGTAACTCTTTTGAAATGTTTGATGTTCCATTATTTCTTAATATGAAATTTATTCAAAATATAATTTTATGTTGCATAATTTACGCTGTTCTTTCTAGTTATATTTCATTGTTATAATTATTTCTTAGGAATTCCCAGACATTTAGATCATTTGAAGAAAAAGTTGGTACTGCTTATGAAAATGTTAAGGTCAGTTGATTCACTTTTGATATTTTTTATTTTTACATTAATAAAGAGGGTGTAAATGTTTGAGCCAATTAAAAAAAATATATTTATTATTTTATTTGTCAACTTTTTCATTTGCTTCTAAGGCACCAAAGAAGTACTGTGTTGGCTCGATTATGAGGCAAAATTTTTTTGATTGATAATTAGGCCGTAAAATTCATAGTCACAGCCAACCACAGGCCCCTTCCCCCTGCTCTAGCCTGTTACATTCCTGAATGTTCAGCTAGCATCTGTTTACGCATGCGTACCAGATGTTTGCTCAAGGTCATCGCTAATTCTTGCAACTAATCCACCTGCAACTGTATTTTCAGTTAAATGTTTTATTAAATTCAAAGTTTTTTGATAAAAAAAACTTACTTTTTTGTCTCTCTTTTTTTCTTTTTTTTTTGTGACACTAAGGACTATCAGTATAATTCATGTATGATTCAGAGTTTCATTGTTTGGGGGTGGGGGCGAGTGGTATTTTTTGGGGCCCCTTGATGATGTAGCAATATTTTGTAATAGTTTTGTCAATGTAGTGAAATATATGTAACTGCTAACAATGGCTATTTCAAAACCAGTGTTGAGGCCTGGTTATGAAAGTTTTGAATTTACTTTGTTCACTATAAAATCTAGCTTGGTGATATAAAAAGTCCTATATTTTAAGTTTTTTATATTTAGTGTTTGCATTCACTTACTAGTTCCTCTTAAAAGTTAATTCCTTAAACCAGAGAGGATGCTGCTAGCGTCCGGCAAAAAATCCCGATTTACCCATCATATGGTGACAGCATCCTATAACATTTATCTCTTTAGCTGAAAGCTAATCCAAACCAAGTTATTATCCACAAAATTAAGAAATCATGAAAATAATTCGGGCAGAAATTGCAAAAACTTGCGAGTTAAATTTGCACTGTACAACCACCAAGTGGCAAAATTAGTTCAAATTCTAGTGATTTTGAGAACAGTTAACATTTACTTAAACATCTATAGTAAACAAAAATCATAACTAAAACTGCTCTCCCATTTAAATAAATTTTATGATAAGCACTTTCATTATATTAATGTGTTAGTTATTTGTTATTATGTAACAACAGTGACTAATTATAAACTCTCACAACTTGCATCACATTGTGTTATATCCTATTGTCAGGTAGAACCACTACATTGACATGTACTGTGATTAAAGCATCCTGGCATATAAACATACCATGCACTTTTTACCATCTTATTTTAATATAGTATTATTCTAAGTTGATCAGTTATTCTGTGTATGCAGTTTACATACAGCATATGGTCAAAAAAGTCATTAAGTTGACCTTTTTTCCTTTGTCATTATTTGGAGATAACACCAGTTCCATCTATGGATGATATAACTGGATTGTTGTCCAAGGATATAGAGAGCAACGTCCTCAGATGGTAGATTAAGTGATATCTCAAGGTTAAAACATACATTATGTTTGAATGAGAATGGCCAGACATATGAATAAAGCTGGTCTCTCTGGATAAGTCCATCATTATCTGTTAAGTAAGAAACACTAGACTTAAACAGTCTGGTACACGATCTTGAAGCTGTCAGTTTTGGAGAGAGGGGGGAATAGTTCTACTCCAGTGAAATAACTGTCCTTTGTCAAGCAAGGAAGTATTTGTATATGCACTGTGTTTGTGTCTTTGATATAATGAATGTTGTTTCTTGCGTTTACATTGTGTCCAGTCTCTTTATTTCATTCTCACAAAGTTGGTAATTCACGGAAATTCAGTACTATTTGTAACAGATATCTTGTCAAAAATCCTGTGGACCCATTCTGTCGCTCTTAAGTAAAATCAGTTTAGCCTAAATGCATTACAGCTCCATATGACTATGTGGAATTGTTTACACTGGTTATGACTTATGATCTGAATATGATGCCTACTGTCAGCTTTTATTAGGAACGTTGAGATGGTTGTTCTCCTGTATTTCAAGTTACCTACTCTTTTAAACAGTAGGAACTTGTTGGAAGTTTTCTGACTGTATGTTCTCCTGATTTAGTATCAGTTCACTATATAATGCTTATTTATTGTTGTTGTTCTATGAAATGTGAAATATTATGAATTGAAATTTACTACAAAGACGTATTGTAATCAGACAAAAATTAATTTCTTCTTGTATCTTTTTCTGACAGAGCAAGCTGTCTAATTCACGCAGTAGCAGTACCCACAGCTTCATAGAAACTGCAAGATCAAGTGGTACCACCCCAGTTACTTCTCCAGTCATCCCTGAGGAGAAACCATTGTTGTAAACTTGCCAAAAGGCTCAGCCCATAAGGCCAAACTAACTTAGCTATTAACTTGGCTTGTGAAAGTGGAGCAGTATTTTCTTTTTATGTAAATAGCACATATTGTGACCAATTAGTTTCTGAGGTTTACACTATTTTGAAATGGGATAGTTTTATTTTTTTTCCTAAATTAATAAACTTTCAAAATATTTAATATTTATCCAAATCATATAATTAAATGTTAAAAGTTTTTAAAGCAAGGTTTTTCATAACACCTAGTTCTTAATTTTATTTTATTTTTACACCTCTTTTTCTACCATGGTGTTTCTGTCTACATAACATTTTTGTTTTGGCTATTAATCACATTAAATTTAAGCTACTGCAAAAAAAAAAATAAGATATTGAATTTAACTTTTTACTGATGTATATCATTATGATGTTATTAATAATTATAAAAATATCCAGAAACATCCAATTAGCCCTTAAAATCAAACTTAATATACTACAATTTTGTTTATTTTATATTTATAAATAAGACTTTTTGCATTTCTCACAAGGCTGAAAACAAAGTTGCGATATTTCTTTTCACAAGGAACTTATGTGCTAGTTTAAATTACTTTATCACTTAGTCACTAAAACAAGCATTTTTTATCACATATTTTGGCACTTTATTGCTCTCTGTCCTTTTCCTGAATTCTAAAGAGTTAACATTTATTCTAGATTACTGTTGACATCAGTTTTATAACTATTAATTTTCACACAAGTTCTGGAATGGCAAGACCAGATTTCAAATAGCTTTTATAATAATAATAATAATTGAAACTTTAAGTGTGTATGATCTCCATAAAGAAAGAGTTGTAAAAGCATTGCTGGTTTTGAAATTTTCTAAGATTTATTTTAGTAGCCACAATGCATTGAAATATAATTAACTGTTTAATAGTACACTTTGTTTTTGCATTCCTTCTCATACAACTAAATTTTACTAATTTTCAAAAGATAAAATGAGACTATTAATTTTCCTCTTAGAACTTCACAAAATCAGGTCCAATGAGGAAAGATTTTTTTGTTATTTTTTTTTAAGATTACTGTATAAGGTGCTTGTAGTGATGTTAAGTAACAGCATACTTAGGAAAGTAATTTTTAACATTTAAAGAATTAATACATTCACAGGCTTTGTCTAAGCGAATTCATGATTTAAATCTTCGTACTTTCAATATTTCTGAAACTTGAACTTCTAACAAACCTGGGAACAGTGTTCGAGGTCTCCTAGCTGAGTTCATTTGAACTAAAGTATTTTTTGTTATGTATTATAAGATTAGATGAGTTTCAGGAATTATTTAGTATTTATAACATAGTTTCAAAATTTTAATTAATTTTTTTTTACTTATAAAGGTTAACTTAAAAATAATTTCAATTGTAATTGCTAGATGATCTAAAATATTTTTATATTTTGGTTTAAAGTGTCATTAAACACATTCTCACTTTCTTGAGAAGGTTCTACTTTTTAAAGGATTGGCAGATAATCTACATGAATTTGAATATATATTTATCTTCTTGGCTTTATTTATACTGACATGTACTAGATTTAAATGTATATATTGCTTATCTATGTTGAAGAAAGATATCTGGAATATAGTTTGAAAAAAAATGTTACTGATAACAACAAAAAATAAATGTCAAACCTTAAACACCTTTTGTAACAATTAAGATTAAAATACCTTGTTCAATTATTGTTAATTTAGCTGAAATTTAAAACTAAATCCTTTTTTGTACATACAAATTAATACAAACTTAGCGAGAATCAAATCAAATATTTAATATGTGTTGTAAAAAAATTTGCTTTGTGATTATGTAGTTTATGTTATATTTGTAATTGTGTTTATAGTACATTTATTTTAATATGAAGCTTTAATATACTTAGAATGTTGCATACTTTCATTTATAATCTACTACTAAGGCAAGTTAAACTAAACGTGTGCAGAGATTTTAAATAAGATTTTGTTATAACTTTAGAAAGGATGATATTGATAAAGAAGGAAAAGTATATAAATGTTCTTTTTGGAGTTGGATTTAAGATACTTCATTTAAAGATGAGTTATTGAATAAACACATCACTTAATTATTCCTATTAACACAGTTGTTTCTCACTTTACTTCAGTGTTGATTTTTTTAACCTATTTTACACAATTTTCTGCATGTCTAGTGGATGATTATCTATTTTATTATCAGATATTACTTTTATGTTTTTGTAATTGGTTCTAAAATAGAAAACGTTGGTGTTAGTTTGCAAGTTAACAGATTTTATATTTTGATGATTATACTGTAAGTTAATTTTTTGTACATTATTAAGAATGATTCTTTTTTTTTTAAGCAAACAATTATAGTGCTAGATGAAACAAATTTCAACTGTAATTTTTTTCATATTTTTGCTGAAAATAAAACATTTAGATGCTTACTGGTTTTGTTGCATTAGTGCATGTATATATTTTAGAAGTTGATCAGCACCACATAACATATTATACACCATTATAATACTATGTACACAGTATTAAGTGTTTCATAAATGTGATTTTATTTTTTGGTACACATTATTTATATTGATATTAATGCTATTTTTTACTATTTATATAATAGATTACGTAAATAGTTGTGGTCAAAACACTGTTTGTTGTGTCCCATCTGGCCTGATGAGCTCTGGATTGAGGAAAACTTGTCATTGGCAGTGGATATGGTGAACACAGTGTGGTTGGAATACTATTACTATTTACACTTCTTTTTCCTGAAAAATCACTGATGGACTAGATAATGAATGCAGTGATAAAAATATAATAAATCCAATACTAACGTCTTATGACAATTATAATCATGCTTCACCAGCTTGGAAAAGGCATTCACACCATAAAAAAACCTTTAAAAATCAACATTATCTTTGAACTGTACTAATTAATAATAGTTTTTTTTCTGAGCAAGCTATTTACTTAGAGTTAAACTGAAGATGAACCTTACAATCAGTATTTTCTTTTGTTGTAATGACGAATAGAACAAATTGTTTCATCAGTTGAGTACTCTCGCTATTAACGATATATTCGGCCATAATTCCACTAATATCTGGCGAGGTTAAGTCAGCTTTGGAAATTTAGGTTAGACCTAAATATATATATATATATATATATTCTAAGTTAACAATGTGAAACAATCTCTATAATAAAAATAATAATATAAAAATGTATAATAGTGGCATTCGATATACTAAATAGTATAACCAATACTTTAATGAAAGTAACAATAAACAAATAATATACCTTACTTAGGAAACACTAACTGTTGGCTTGAAGTACTGTTGTAGCAAGTTGGATTGCTGCTAAACTTTATTTTAGCATTTAGTTATCTTGCAAGAAAAAAATTACTAACTACACTTTATTGCATTTGAAATTCAACTAAGTATATATTTATATACACTGTTGACCATATAATCGCAAACCAAATAATAAAAATACAAGGGCACTAATTCATTTTCTAAATTACTAACTCCTCCCCCCCCCCCACTGCAACAATACTTAAATTGTTAATTATTCATAATTTCATCAACAATACGATATAACACAAGTATTAGGGAAAAAGTTGTGGCGCTGGCTACTGAACCTGAAAAAAAAAGGAACCAAACAAGATAGGGATGAAAGTTTGTCTATCGAAACCTTGTGTTTGAATAGAATCTCTGCTTTCATGAATATATCTTTCCGTTACTTAACTTCAGAAAACTACTTTTATGACTATTTTACAATAGAGTAATATTTTCCGCCTTGAAATTCTGGTTCTATTTGTTTTGCCAGTGAGGAAGCAATTAATGTAAAGTCGTGACAGCTTAGTCTGCTTTGTGATAAGTAGCCAGATCAAATGATATGTCCACTTTCGTTCCTATCATGTTTTTTCCATTCTTTCAAGTTCAGTAGCCAACCCTACATTAATTGTTTGTTTAGCGATAAATGATTTTCCTAATACTTGTTTGATTACTTTTTTTTATATACGATGGCGTACGTGGGTTACTAGGTTATAGAGCGTATTCTAAAGCTATATAAATTTTGCATAGAATAATAAAATAGGTAGTCAAAGATTGTTTTGCTCACTGAGATGATGATAAAATTATGGTTACTGCTAGAACTAGACAGGCGCTCGGCCTGTTGAAGAAAGATGATAATGAACGAACACAAGAAACCTTGGTTTTGGCTATTCGCTGGTTTTTTACTTTGGGGTGCTCTGGATAGTTAAAACTGGCATATACACTGGAGACAGAGAGACTATGCCAGGTAGCTATTCATATCTAGCTTCTGATGAGCTGTAAAGATGAAAATTCATATGACTTTTGTATTGCTTTAATACGGACATCGTGTCAACCCTACCTATGTATATATATAGTGCTAGCGCACTTTCAGATTAACTAAAAAAACCTGAAGTTCTAAAATAAAATAATAAAAACAGAATTTATGCTAGTTCATATTAAATTCAAACTAAAAACAATGTTACCAATTATTTTTATAGTATTCAGGTACATTAATCGCCAAAAGTTTCTGCAAAAATGCTGATT